TGCCTGGTTTGCTGCTGCTGTTTGCTGCTGCTGTTGCTGCTGCTGTTGTTGATCGGATTATGACAAGCAGCGACACAACCGAAAGACGACGACGACAGCCTCCGATCCGCAGACAACTCATAAGTTGGACGCCTTTTGGCGAATTTGCAGACAATGTTGACGATGCCAACAGATGCAAATTGTCGTCGTGGCAGGCAGAGGAGCGATGAGGAGGCAACAGGCGACTGGCGTTGATTGCCGTCTGATCACCGCTTGATTTGGATTAAGTGAAAATTCATTAGATAATTTCAGTGGTCGCTCTGTGAGGCGCACTACCGCAGTTCTCAGTTTGCCATCTAGCCACTAGACTCTAAGTATGCCAATTAGTTTATATTATCGCCACGATACGCATAGTTATTCCACAGCTCGTCCACCCGATTAATGTCAGGAAGTCGTCTCAAGTCTGTGCTGCAATTGCGCTAAAGGAAGATCGCATTGTAAGCTCATTAAGTAGTTGACAGGTACACGACAAAGAGAACGAGATAATATTGCAACATTGTTGCCGATATCCGCTTGATCATTGATTGATATTCAACTTGGCATGTCCATGTGAAGACACGAAAGAAATGGGTGTGTTCGAATCGGTGGGTTATTGATATGATGGTAAATATTAGCATTATAAATATATATGTGGGAATAATTAATAATTAAATATAATTAATGCTTATACATTTCATTTCAGAAATAAAACGATTATTGATTTACTAAAGCTTCAGTACAGAAATTTAAAATGTATTAGAAAAAATCAAAGTTAAAAAAGTAAGTTAGAAAAAGTGTAATAATAAATAAATTATTATTAGGTATAAAAAAATAGTACAGAAATTATTGTTTAACAATGGTCTGATATTATATACAAATTTAAAGTCTTACTTAAGCTCTACCACTTAATATAAATTCATTAAAATATACTTTAATACTAATGCCTGATTAATGAAGCTATTATAATTTTAATTATAAGTTAGCAGGTTGTAAATGAATAAATAAATAAAATATAACTGATTTATCTATAAGAAAATTCGTCGGCAATTCTTTAATGAACCTTTGATAAATTGAGAGAACTAAGAAAGTTGCCACAGGCTGCAAGCTGGTCAAAGTTCGACGAAAGATAAATTGTCAGCGAGGCAAATGGAAATGCAAATGACTCAATGAGTTGCAAGTGTGCAGAGCCATAAAAAACTTCTGAATCAACTTCAGAGGAGAATAGACACAGCAAAAGAGAGGGAGAGAGAGAGAGAGAGAGAGAAGAAGAGTGGAAGAGGGAGAGGAAAGGCCGAGTGAAGCAGCTGCCAACACGTAGACAAACATGGTGCTGGCCAGTGATCAAAGTGGACAAGTGGACTCCATTAAAACACTAACGTCACGTCAAGGACCAAATGATGAATGTGCCTAAGGCGAAGTACAATTTTCAGCGTCAACTGCAGGCGCAAAGCAGCCAAAAAAATACAACAAAAAAAAAAGAAATGCCACGCAGGACACTGTGCACAAGGACACAAAGAGAAACAGCAGCGACTGACTGACTGATGGCTCCTGGCCATGTAAGTGTGTAAGTGTGCGTGTGTGTGTGTGTGTTTGAGTGTGTTTGAGTGTATTTGTGTGTGTTTCTGTTGTCCAGCGATAACTGAGTTGTTGTTTGGACGCAGTGCAACGCGGCGTATGTGTAATATTGTGGATGGAACTGAATACCAATCAGAGAAACAATTCTCTGCCCTCTCTCTTCTCTCTTTCGCTCTCTCTTTCTGTCTCTCTGTCTCTCTGTCTCTGTCTCGCTCTTACAGTTTATGCTGCAAGTACTGTAGCAGGATGTGATGGCAATTTAAGTCAGACAGTCACTCACATGGACTGCAGGATAAACAGTTTGCTGCTTGGGGCGTGTCAAACGCCTCCACATGCGATGCTGGCCAATTGTTCAATGTGGTGAGGGCAGGAGAGGCAGTTTGAGTGGGGAGGGAAGGTGGCACGGAAGTGCGCCCTCTGCACCGCTCATGAAGTCATTCACTCAATTTATCGTTTGATGAATGTCCTGGCAGATAGCCGGTGTGCCCAGTGCATGGGGACAACAACAATAATAACAGGATGCCTACAACAACTGTTGGGTGTTGATGCTGATGCCATCATATGTGCACACACACACACACACACACACACACACAACACATTTAATGGCCATTTGAGCAGTTGATAAACGTTTCGCTCGTTTGCGTTGATGAAATGTTGTCGTTGTCATTGTTGTCGTTGTTGCTGCCATTGTCCTTGCTGGGTCCTTGTTGCATTGTTTATTTATGCCTGGCATATGGAGCACACACACACACACACACACACACACACACGCACACACACACACACGACATCCTCTGGCCATGCGTTTAGTTTTTGACGCTTATTTCTAATTGTTTTTGGTTTAGCTTTTTTGCCTCCACCCCGCACTTTTTTGATTTATGACCCAACAGCAGCAAGCGTTTTTGGTCTTTTTTGGCAGTTTCTCGTTCGGCGTTGTTGGCCTGGCCGAGTCAACATGTCTCCACAGACTGCAATTGCGCTGCTGACAATGACACTATTATGATGTCAGACAATGACAGGCGACATACTCATTCATGGCTCACATCTCTTTTTGGGTCTCTCTTTGCCACTTTGATGGATAGTTCTCGCATTGCCCGCGGTTCTGGACGAATGCATGGAATAGTTCTTGATATATGCCTGAATAGTTTTGCATATATTTGTTTAGATCTGTGTCTAGTTTAAGTACTCAATTTTTCAATAGTTTTCAACCTTGTGTATACGAGTAATACTAATTAATTATTACTTTATTTAATATACACACTTATTATTTATAGGCGCCCCAGCAAAGATTCAAGCTGGGGTTGATGGAGCAGATATAGGCTCAGAAGGGGGCACAATAAATCAAGTAAATCGCAGTAATAATAATAGTAATAATTAATCTGTCAAGTGTCAAGAGTTGATAACAAAAATATACCTTAAACAAAATTATAAACAACATTCAGTCCAGCGTATAATTATGATTACCATATTTATAAATTTATAAATATTTCATACACTTACACAATTTTTACCCATATATATATATCTAAGTTAGCCAAATAGCATTTCAAATAACTGCCAATAACTCAAAATTTGAGTGCAAAAATTCACAATACGGAAAAGCCATAAAAGTATATTTATGTCAACAACAAATCATATTATCACAATAGCAGAGAAACTAGACTAAACTATAAATGCAATGCTACAAAAAGTTAAAAATAAAAAATTAAGAAGGAACAGTTAGTTAGAAAATATCTAATCTGCCGAATATTAAACACACTTCCAGTGGTGTTAATATTTGAATAATAAGTGTGGGTAAATTGGGATGACAACAAATACTTTTGTCCGATTGTTCGAATGTCAGCCAATAAATATCCCAAGAGACTCGGAAGAATATTACAATACACGTTTAAGAGTATAAGCAACAATACATTGACCAATAAACGCTTTGGTTTTTGAATTTGTAATAAAAAATGCATTTGCACTTTTACATAAATAAAAACTTCAGAAAAAAAAAACAAAAATAACCCAAAAAGATGCGGGAATTATCCATTAAAAAAAAGGTTGTAAAGGGGGAAAGCGGTTAGTGACCACGACAAAATACATGTTACTAAAAAATATAACATGTAGAAAATATCAGGCAAAAATAACAATAACAGTTCAAAACTAATAATTTGCTTTTATTGAGTGTTGCTGATGCCATAAAAAACATTTGAGTTGCATTTCTCTTTAGGCTGCTCGTAAAATATTTATATACCTCGTAGAGTGATTGAAAAGGGGTATAATTAAATGGATTTACCTGATGTAACAATCAGATGAGAGAGGGACAAAGCGAAAGAAATTGAGAGACACAGTTTAAAGTTGATTTTCATTTAATTAAAAATATTCTGAAAACTATGCAAATATTTTTTAACAAGCGAATATTTAAAGTATTTTTTGTTAATAATGTTTTATTCATTTATTATATATGTAGGGTATTTTATAGTCGGTCTACAGGGAGTACCAAATTCTAAGTTATTTTTGTTGATTTTTTCATTGACCATAGCAGACCAAAATTTGGAGCTGCATACGGCGACAACAAATGCAACCAACGGATTGTGTCCGTGAAAGGGCTGCCAGCGAAAGGGAGGGGAGTCGTTGAGCAGGAGTTGGGGACCTGGTCTATTAAAGCAACTTAACGAGCCAACAAATTACTACACGTCATAAAAGCAAATCACAAAAAATATGCAGAGAACACGGCCACTGCTTTTGCTAAAAATAAAACGTGAATCGGAGCAATGAATACTCTGGCGCTGGAGCTGGCGCTGGATGAGTATACTCATGAGTGCCGCCGCATGATTTAGGGGAGCAGCTGTGTTGGCGGCTTTACCTGGATGCATCATGCCAATTTATGCGTCCCGAGTAGATCGGGACATAAATGTTGCGGTTGGTTTTAATAACTAAAACTGGGCTAAAGTGGGGGAAATGGGGGCAATAAAAGTGCATATAATCAAATGAATGAATCAATTCTGACTTGTCAGCGAACCATTTTCAAGTGGTTACAATTCTTAAAAATGTAAACTAAATGTATAATTATAAAATACAAAATTCTAACAACTAAATTCTATGAGAAAACAGAACAAAAATATTTCGAATGCACATTTGAATCTGAGACTTCAAATTTGGAATATAATTTATCGTTAACATAAGTTGATTTAAGGCTGCTGGCTATTTATAAATTAAATCAAAAAAGAGTAATTTTAAATGCTTTAATAATGTAAATATTTAAACTTTTAAATTAAAAAGTCTTAGCTGCTACTCTTCTTTAAAATAAGTTGGATTAATGTTTTGACAATAAAAAGTAAGCTTTACATAAAATAAATAAAAATGATTCCAAAAACATGAATTTTTCTATAACTAAGCATGTAATTAAATATGCTCTTTAATCTAATATAAACTTATATTTATTTCGGCTCACTTTTGTGACATATTCTATGGGTTTAGGATCAATTTCGATTGGTTTCTCCAACACAATTGCGAAGGGATTAACTTCAGACGGAGACAGCTCAATTTGGCCAGCGGAATCTTGTATGTGCTTCATCAATTTTGTACTTGGCCTGGACTGGCTGGTGGGGATTTGTAATTAAATTTGGCTTATTGCTGGAGACAGCGCTGCCATCTCTGTCACTGTAAATGGTGCGAACGGAGCTGCGTTTTCGAGCAGCATCCAATTGTTGCTCCACCGAAGCTCGTCTATATCGATGAATCGGAGTGTGACTGACCACATCGCCGCTCTGGGTCATTCGCAAGGGTCGCGGATGGCGACGAATCCACGTCCAGGGCTTGGAGCGATTGAAGGGTTCGTGGGCGAGAATCGGCACCTGTGCCCCATAGTACAGGTGCGACTTGTTGGCGGACAAGTCGAGGTGATTCTTCATACCCGGCGACACTCTGCGTCCCGTTGCCGTTTCATGATACTGATGCGATATTGTCCGTGCCCCATGATACAGATGCGAGTTCATCTTCCACTTTTTGCCGGGTGGCTGCATGTGGCTCCTTACACCCGGCGACATACCTCGATCCGCATCTGGCATGGCCTTTGCATTCGCTTCGTTTACTTGTACCTCATTTAGATCAAGTTTCCCGCATCGCATTGGCCAAGTCGCTGGGGTCGCGTCCAATGCCAACTTTGGTATTAACGTTTCTGATCAAGTGCCTCAGATGAATGCCACTCCGTCGTCCTTGGCCCACGTCACCCAATGACTTGCTGTATGCGGCATAATTGCCGTAGAATCGATTATTGAACTTATCGACGTGACTCAGTTCTTTGGGGTATTTAGAAAGCCAGAGATTGGCATCAGCAGCACCCAGATCTTGGGCCAGTGCATTGCTCCTTTTGTTGGCTATGAAGGGATTTCGACTGTAGCCAAGATCTTCGGAGTTGGGAGCAAATGGTGCCGCAAAATTCTTTTTCACATCGAACAATGTATCGAAGCCGTCGAGACGATAATTCGCGTATAGCCTGTAACGACGTCTGCGTCCATTTTGCCGGGCCAGCGAATCCTCGCCGATGCCCGCCCGATGCGCCAGCCTCTCTCCTCTGGATTGTGTGTTCTGCTGGCCAAAGAGTTTGCCGTGTGCCGCATTAGCCGACTCCTTGAGTTCCTTGCCTGCCTTCAGCACCGATTGCAGAATGGTCAATAGCTGGAGCAACGATTCCGGATGATAAGGATTACGCAAGTTGCCACTGCCATCGAAGATGCTGCAATAAGTGTCGCAAATATCCAAGTCGGACAGCGGCACTCGACACCTGCTCGACAGTTGTTGTCGTCCTTGTGGCCTCAGCACCTGGCCAAAGTTCTGCAGACTCAGCGTGTACAGGAAATCGGAGACGATATCCGCCTGGATGTCCAGAACTCTGGCCAGGGCCATTATAATATTTCTGTTCGTTCGGTGCCAACGTAGCTTGAGGGAACTCTCGGTGCAATCACATCTGAATTTATTCGCCGTATCGAGGCCATATCGGCGCTGCCAGTCGATCTTCCTGGTGGCATTATTCAGGCACCTGTTGGCGCCATTCTTCTGCCTCGTGGGGCAAATGCGTCCGCAGCGGCTGCCCAGCTGCTGGATGCATCTGCCCAGTTTGGCAGAGATTGCGCTGTTCAACTTCCAATTCATTTCACAATTCTGCTGCGAGAAACCAAGTCTCGAAATATTTGCCTGACATTTCTATTATCGAAATCACATTCTGTCAATTGTACAACTTTAAACCAAATATTCTATCAATATTTAATTATTTTTTATTGTATTTAAAAATCATTTAAGCTTGCAATTTATTGAAACTTTTCAGAAATTTAATAATAATATATATTTTATTGGCTTCTTGATCTTTTTCCTTGAGCTTTTCTGGCATTTGACATATAAAAAATTATCAGTTTCAGTATGGAAATAGAAATTTTTTAACGAAGTATTAAAAATGAGTGGAAAATTGCCTTCCAAGTCTTATCTAGATTTTAATAATATATATTTGCTAAAATATTTTGTACTATTTTAGTTTAAAAAATTGAATACAAGCAATTTGAAGTTGAAACCCCATTTTTTGTATGCAAATCAAATATTATCGAGTTAACGGTTGAAAATTGTCAAAAGACTCAAAAAGAAAACTGTGAAGACAACTGAAAAATAAACGTCAAGCGAAAAGAAGAATGCAAAAATAAAACATGTCAACTTGGTTTGCAGTAGCTACAACAACAACAACAACAACAATTAACGCACACAACAAGACAAAGCAAAGCAACAAAAAAAAGAGCAGAAAAAAAAACACAAAAAGAAAAGAAGAAAAAACATAACAACTAGCACAGCTCATTGGGTACATAAGCGAGATAGCACGAGGCGCTGCTCAGGCAAGAGTGAGCGGCGCACTGACAGACCAAAGGGGAAAGCAAAACAAGACAAAAATAAAAAATAAAAGAGGCAAAAGCGACAACAGCGATGAGTGAGCGCGAGAGAGCATAAGGGAGAGCACCTATTCTGCTAGCAGGGGTAATGCGCTGGGGAAGTGCGGAACGTGCTGGCAATGGAACAGCGCAGCGTCTGCAAGAGGGGAAAGAGAGCAAATGCCAATTGGCATACGCTCTCGTTCTCATCAGAATGACAGCACCAGCTGCTGCACAACGCTCACCAATAAGAGAGAGAGAGAGAGAATTGTTTTTATTGCCGCTCTGCTGAGCGTCTCTCACTGTCCGCTGCTCCAACACAAGCAAATGAGCACACAAACACACACACACACACTCACACACACACACATGTTGGCGCTGCATGTGCAAACTTTTGCCGGCAAACGCCAGCAGCGACGCCAGCGGCAGCAGCGCTGACGACTGCGACGTTGGCCTCCAACCTCAATATTTAAATTACCAAAACGAATCCCAAATCGCTTCAGCTAAAATTAAAATCGTAATAAGCAATGCTATTTAATTATTTAAAAAATAATTATCCGACTTATTTAATTATAATTATATTTTAAGTTTTTGCTGCAAATTATAAACACTATTTAAAAAGTGTCTTAAAATGTGAATCAGAAAGATTTTCGCTTCTGAGACTCTTTTAATTGGTTTCATGGGTGGCACTTATTGGACTTATAACTCTCATATCGAGTCTGATTAGAACTTCCACTTATACTGAGTGTGTGTCGTATTAGTCTTCTATGTGTTCTGATTGGACATCTGCCATTCCACTTGGGCTCATTCTCTATTAAAATTCCATTTCCCCGCATCTCTTTTCTATCGATAAAGCAAAAAACATATTTATTTTATTTCTTTAATATTAAATGAATGCAATTTGACAACAATTAATTTACGCGTTTATGATTTAATTGTGAAAATAATGTGATTTGGGATTTCACATTTGCAAAAGAAACAAAAAAAAATTGTTAAATCTGCATAAAATTTAATTAAATTTGCTTTAATAATAATATGTAAAGATTATTTATTTTTTTATGGCATCTGTCATCTTTCATAATTGCCTCATTAGTTCTCCTTGAAGGCTATCAGAAGTTAGAAAATATCATTGAACCCATATTAATATCCACATTAAATGATTTTACTTCATAAATTTGGCTTGAGGAAATTCTTTTGATTTTCTTCTGACAGCTATTCCGTCTTAGTTTGCCCACAGCTGATTTTCGCTTTTCGCTGGAATCTTCAAAATATGTTTTTTGGGGTCAATTATATGTTGGAGCAACTTTTGAACGCTTTGTATACAAATTTGAAGCGATAAAGTATGTTCAAATAGCTTACCCAATTATTGACGTATTCAGAGAATCAAAAACTATAAATAATCGATAGATCTCAGACCCTGTTTCGAATAGCTCATCTGATTTTATCAGCTAGCGAAACGAAATGGACTTTGATCTGAGATACTAACAGCTCGGTTGAGTTCAAAATTATGATTCGCTGATGATTAAAACTTGTTCAGCTTTGTGCGGCGACTATATCGCAATATCTGATCCATCAGGTCGCACCTGAGTTCAATAGAGTTGGCGTGTTCAAAGAGCGCCGCTAAAAGCAAGCACAAACAAATAAACAAATTAGTGGGAGTCTATATATAAATACACACACACACACACACACACACACACACACACAAATAAATAAATACATAAATCAATAGTTAATATTATAATTGAGAGGCATCAACAGGTTCGTCAACAACAACAACAACAACAACAATAATAAGAACTTCACCCGTTTGAAGTCGATCCACGGATGCGATTGTTCGCTGGCCGCCTTTAATCTTTGGCCTACGAAATGGGCCCCAAAATGGGCCCCGAGTGAAAGATACTTCCGTGTCGGCAGCTTTGTGCCACTGTGTGGGTGGCAACCACTTCGTGGCGCCCACTGCTCTCACCCATAGATACATATATGCATATTTATAAGTACGTCTAAATATTTTTACACACGGAGAAAAAGTTTAGATGACACAATTGCGTATTTAACTGTAATTAAAATAGTAATAATAAAAACATATTTTCAATTAATGTGTGTAATATTCAATTTAATTTATCATTATTTATGTTTCAGTGTATGTTCATCTCAATATTTCGAATTTCACTTTAATCTTTATTTGTTTTAATTTTAATTTAAAATTTATATAATTTAATTTTATGCTTTCACTTTTTAACACTTGTCAACTGTTTTTAATCCACATTAAATAAATAAAAAAAAATGTAAAAGTTTTTTCTTTTCGTGTACATATTTATAAGTGCAATTTTTAATATTTTATTGACCCACCCCTCACTCGACAATGGGTGGGAAGAATGCTTTGAACTTGTACCATTTGATGCAATTTATGTACAGTCAAAATCGGATCGTAAATTGACTAAAATTATGCGTAAATAAAGAAGCCCCAAAGAACGGAAGACAACGTTTGATCTTGCCGATCATTCGGGATGCGGGATACGTGTGTGTTTCGATATGTCTTCAATCATGTTTGGAATTCTGCTTTTTCCCAAAAATCGAATCAGTTGAAAGAATTACATGTCAAGATTCGTTTACAGTAAGTATTGCAATATATATACACAATACATTAAATCGTCATCAATCGTGCATAACGAAAAGGATTGCGAAGGGAGGATTGAGAGGCGTGCAAAGATCCGGGAATAAAAGAATTAAACAATTTGCGAAACTAACAAAAAAGTACATAAAAAATAGAGGATGGATTTGGGAACTCCTACGTGGATTGTCGTCAGTGGCTATCAAATGGATTGCGCCTATTTGGTATATCATTTCTTTTACGATATCGGTCATGTGGTCAAAAGTTATTCGGCCACAAATTTAATGTATCTCAAGTATTTGTGCCCGAGGGACTTTAAGATGGCACTCAGCTACGATAAACAGAGGATTGGATATGGCGGCGATATACTCGTACGCGTTAAGCCCGAGAATCCTTTTCTCGAGACCAGAATCGAAACAGTTATTGAGCAAAGGGATCAGATCGTTGACATTGTCGGGGAGTTGATCGATCACCAAATGCCGAGAAGTATTATCGATATCGATGTGGCAAGGACAATGGAATACAACCGACCAATAGTTGCCAAGATGACATTCTTCCAATGGCTGAAGCGTAAAATATCATATGTATTTTACTTGTAACTTAAAAATATTTATTTTCTGTTTTATTATTGTTACGTAGTTGAAATTTGAAAGAGTGATGAGATTTAACGGTCCACAAGAAAGGGATTGAAATGAATTGTGCACATTTTGAGTACTTTATTTATAGAGAAAAGTCTTTATTTTACTTTACAGACTCTCTTAAGAATAAAATGTATTTCAACTTGATATAAATGAAAGTTCTTCTGGAACCATTTGCATAGAAAACTGCTTTCAATATATTTAAATTAGAAGCCTCCCTCGGTCATTATAATGTCGATGGCAATAAAATTGAACTCGCATTGTTCGAGATACTATTTGCATGATAGCGACATTATAGAATTTTTAATTACAATAAATCAATTTAAATAAAATGTAATTTTTCAATTTTATCAAATTGTCATTATGCGTAATTAATTCCTATGCACAAATGCATTTTACTGCGCCACATTAGGGTGCCTCACACCACACCCTTCTCGCCCAACTCCCTCGCACCCTGGTGGCGCCATCTAGCGTCGACGTCGACCAAACAATTGTGCTGTGCTAACTTTTAGCGATTGTCGAAGCGATTACGATGCCGCAGCTGAGGGGCCTGAAGGGGCTGGCGGGGAGTGGCGAGTGGTTGAAATAATCGGACATTTGTTTTGTCAAAAATAATGCTGCTTAATTATTATATTTGTAATTTATTTGCGCCAACGCTTATCAGATCCAAATGCTAAAAAGTATGCATGCTGCTTTAATCCTACATTAATCCCGCACAAAATGCATCAGCAACAACAACACAAACAACAAGCAACAACAAAAACAACAACAAAAACCAACAGCAACAACAACAACGGCAACAGTCTAAAATAGAAATGACAGTAACAAACAACAAAAGCAATTCAAATGCAGCGCATAGAATGCATAATTAATTTTTATTTTGATGACAACGTCAACGCAACCCAATATAAACCAACATCAACATAATATAACCCCGCAGATCCCAGCCAACCCCACAAACACAACCCCATTAAACATATCCCGCAGTGCGTTTGGCGTTGCCAGGTTGCGAATGAGCCGCAATTATTTTGAATTGCATAACACTGGCAGCATTGCCTGCAACTGACTCAACAAAGCCACACATCCAAATGGACAACACACCAATCAATATGTGGCCAAAAAAAAAATAAATGCATTATGGCCCATATCCAAATAAGTTGAACCCTCTTCCTATAATCTGATGAGACAAAGAATGCTAAGAATCCTTTGTGATATGTCCTGATATGGCTAGAAAATCGATATAATAGATAATCGCAATTATTTCGCAAAAATATCAGAACTATTTTCAGAATTTCCGAAAGGATTTGCTTTAAAAACAACGATTAGCTTATCAACTATTTAGAAATATATTCTATGATTAAGAAATATATTTTTGAAAAATATAAAAAAAAATTCTTTCTAATTTTAAGTAATTAATTCGGATATATAGAAATTATTTTAGAAACACGAAGTTTTTCTAGGCAGATTCAGCACAATTTTGCTAAATTTTAATTTAATTTTTTCGGAGATTTTTACTGATTAGAATTGCATTAGATACTTTAACTAATTTTACCCACACTGGGCACTTCAACGGAAATACATATGTCAGTATGTATATACATATATATCTATAGAAATACACATACATACTTATGTATATGTGTATGTGTATGTGGATGCCTGCCAGTTTGGCTTGAAACGCAAATTAACCTCATTTGAGAAAACAAAGCAAATGGCGGTAAAATGGATAATTTGTTAAATAAATTGTGCGATTTTTATGAAAGCATTAAATATTTGTTTTTGTCAGCATTTTGGCAATTGCTGTTGCAGTTGTAAACTGGTTATTTGCATTCGATAAATAACATCAAATTAAAATTCTTTTGTTGTCTTTTCATAGTTTAGCATTTTTTTTTTTTTTTTGGTTTTTCTGTGGATAGATTTGCGTTAACAGATACAAATCCGTTTAATTGTATTTTTTTTTTTTTTTTTTTGGTATTTAGTTGTTGTTTTTGTGAAAATTGTGTTTAATTTTTATGGCCAGCATATTTGGTTTTCTAGGCCCCCACATTACACGTCTGTCGCCAATTACTGAAGCCTTGCCCCTCCTTAACTGTATCCCCCCTTGGACGCTGATGTGCAGTTGCAAATCCTCTGAAATTATTGCGTTCATTAAATTTTAAACAAAGGTGATTAGATTTTATAATTCGAATAGAAGCACACACAGATACACACACACACACACACACACACACACACCCATAAAAATGGCGTACAGTTGTGCTCATTATTTATTTAGAACAATTGCAAAAAGTATTTAATAATTTGGCATTGTATTTCGAGTTGTTCCCTTATTTATTTTCACAATTGTTAGCATTATGCATTTTATTTGTCATATCGAAATGTGGGATCAACAATTGTTCGTTTGTTTGCAAAATTAATTTATTATTTTCGCTCATTTTTCCAAATTCCTATTCTTTTTATATGTCAATTTTAATTAATTTTTACCCCATATCCGATATACAAATAGATTTATTTGGTATATGCCATACTCAAATGCAAATAGGCAAATTCATATCAAAACCTTTGCGTTCGCATTCGTATTTAATTATTTAATACCACATTATAATTTTAGTTACGGATATCAGTAGAAATTATCACTAGATATATCCTTATCACTTTCCCAGTTTGGGAGTATAGTAAGCAATGTTTCAAATATTTACTTATTTTCTGTAAAAAGTTTGTGCTTAGAATGAATTCTGAGCTATTCGAGAACTTTAATACGACAAATCAAACATCGCCTCACTATGAAAGGCATCTGAACTTTGCCAAACCATTGGCGAAGGTAAGTGTGAACCAATACAAATATTAACCAATTGCATAAAGCTGGGAACGCTTACAGGAGCTATGTGAAAGAATCTCGCTGCTGGAGTCGAGTGAACGCTGTGATTATGCCAGCAATAGTGAGTCGTGTCAGGATCGGGTGTTCCTCTTGAACTACAACAGTTACTTTTACTGTGTGTGCGATGATAATGCTCTATCCCGAACTATGTGCATTATAATGCTGCTTGTCGAGAGTGCTCTGATATTTTGGATGATTTACGAAGTCACGAATCATTTGTGAGCCTATTTAAAAGAGAAATTCTTCCTCGAATCTTCATCATTTCCATTTTTCTTTTTAGCCTTATACCAGCACTAACAGGAATGTCCAAGTTGCTGAATTTGAATGAATACGTTGCTGGGGTGACTGTCATGACACTTGGCAACAATGCACCAGATATTTTTGGTGGCATTCTCGCATTGAATTCGGTATCGCGTCACAATTATTCGGACACGATGGCCAAGAATCTATTCGTGAGTACAGTTATATCATCCATAGTGATGTGGGTAACACCCTTTGCCATCGATGGCACCTTCTTTCTGCGCGACGTCGGCTTCGTGCTACTCTATGTGAGCTATGTGGACTTTACCATTAAGATGTGCAAGGGATTCGTTACATATATCTGGGCCGTGTCCATGGCACTCGTATGTCCCATTTACATAATAGTTATCCTTATCGATGTGTATCTGCAATATCGCAAGGATAAACGTGAGTCTAACTCTAAGCACACAAGTTGCCCAGTCCAATCAGTGTTTTTTCTTCGTAGAATGGCGGAGGGAGTCCAGATCCACCGAGGAGATGAATCAGTTTGATACGCTGAACTCGCCATTCGATTCGATCAAGACGCAGACGACCATTGATTCTCGATATGCCGATCAGTCGCCCAACAAGTTTCTATTTAGGCAATTCTTCAGTGTCTTCGACACTTTGGACAGGAATAGCTTCAACAGCAAGTGGACCATCCGTAAACTCTGGGCACTGGTTAAAGTGCCGCTCCTGTTCTGTCTGCGCTTTATGATACCACAAATGAACTTCCATGATGTCTCATACTCGTGGTCGAAGCTACTGTGCTGTATCCAGATTACCACAACGCCCAACCTAATTATCTTTATGTTTCGTAAGTAACTCCCAACAACTGATCAATCTCTAAGATATTACATACACTCTGAGAAAATATCGTCTTGATGAAGTCGCCCTAAAAACTAGAAAATGTTTCTTGTTTTAAGAATTACGAAAAATATACGAAGCAAATTCAATTATCTAGTTAATTATAAAATTTTTAATTCTGATTTTACATCCATTATGCAATCTATAATCTCTTCACCCGCAGTTGCTGGCTATGTGGACTTGTGTATCTGGACTGTGCCGACGGTTGCATTGTCAACTGTATGTTTTTTACCAATCTCAATTTTAGCATTTCGACATTCCCGCACCGACGGGGTGCCCAAGTGGTATCCTTACATATCGATCATAACATTCATAGTCTGTGCTTTTGTCCTCTATGCGACGACCGCAGAGCTGATCGCCTTGATGGAAACTGTGGGCATTGTACTCCGTTGCAGTCACACATTCATCGGGTGCACCGTCTTCACTTGGGGCTATGGCTGGGCGGAGCTGACTGCGAATGTGGGCATGGCACGGAAGGGATTTCCACGCATGGCATTTTCCGCTTGCTTTGGTGTCATCATACTCTGTGAGTCCAACAAATATTGTATCTATTCAAAGTAGTTCATTTTCAATTGCAGCCATCTTTACGTCCATTTGCATTCCGATTTTGTATAGTGTTGTTGCCTCAGAGACGGGTTATGTTCGTGTAAGTTATCGATGTCTTCAAAGCGATTGTGTATTACTTTATATATTTAGATTTCTGAGGGAACTGTTGGCGAGACGACCTCAATTATACTCATTATATCGCTCATTATGTTCATTTTATATGGCATTACCACCAATTTTATGTTACGTCGATCCGGTGGACTGATGGGCATAACTATGTATGTGCTGTATCTCATCCTCTCCATCTCCAGTGAGTTCGAATTTATCCATGCTTTCGGTACGGACCACAGACTGGATCGTAGTCATTTCGACGAATACTTCTTGGTAACACTGAATTGAGTTTCCTCGAAGCGAAGTTCACTTTGAAATTTCAATTGGCTTTTGCAGCGTCACAGAAAAACATTGAAAACGATTTCTTGAATAAATAACTTGGCCAGTTGCTCATATTTTGTTTATCCGCTTTTCATTTTCTGGACACATAAAATGAAACGAATTGAAAAATCTGGTTTGGACTACAAACAATATCGTCGCATTTTCTTGACAGCCATTCTGTTCTGTGTATCGCTGTACTACATTATGAGCACCCTGGTGCCGTATGGTGACCTGGTCGAGAATGAAATCAGAGTGGGCTACTTTGTCAACACCTCGGGCTGTCGCATGATGGCTCTGCGTCCATTGCCACCGGAATCTCGAACCTACTTGCGACGACTGGAGGCCAAGCAATGCACTAAGCCCCAACTATTTCGAGCTGTAACGGAACGGGGCAAGAACTATCTAAAGCTGACTATGTCAGAAGGCGAAATCCTTAGTGTCTTCAGGGTGGAAAGCATTAACCACGTCCAATGTAAATACGTGCTGATCGAGCGATATAATGACTTTCAGAACATACCAAATGCCACAGAAATGTTCTTTCTGAGCCAGCAAGCACAACAAATCAAAGTCGGGGAAGGCGGCCAGATATTGAGAATCCAATGCCATGGAGCAAACAATGAGACGGTTTACCATGATGTTCACTTCTTTTTACCGCCACCAACTCCTCTGCCTAATGAAGCTGCCTCTTCAGCTTCAGATGCAGACAGTCTATCCGTGATGATAATGGGCATCGATTCCATTTCACACATGCACTTTATACGATCGATGCCATTGCTGAGTGGTTACGTGGGCAGTTTGCCCCATGTTGAGTTTTGGGGCTACAATCGCGTGGGGCGCAACACTTACCCCAATCTGGTTCCACTCTTCAGTGGACTAAATGAGGACGAGCTGCAGTCCGATTGCTGTGATGGCCAAAGCAACTACGATGAATGCGATTTTCTCTGGAATCGTTTCAAGGATGTTGGCTATAACACGAGCTACGGCGAAGACACCCGCGTCGGTGGCACATTCAACTACGGCAAATCGGGTTTCGATCGACAACCAACGGACTTTTACCTGCGACCCGTCATGCTGGAAATAGATCAGCACACTCGCTACAGTATTGATCGACGCGACGAAATTCATTGCACGGCAAGTCGCAAGTATGCAGAAATTCTGTACGAGTTCATCTACAAGCTGATGCCTCACATGAAGCGGGGACCTCACTTCTCGTTCTTCTGGCAGTCCCAGGGGGTTCACGATTATTTTAACTATGCCCAGTTCCTGGACGAGGAGTACTTGAATCTGTTCCGTCGCCTAGAAACCGAGGGTATCTTGAATAGTACTCTAGTACTCCTAATGTCCGATCATGGAATGCGATACGGTTCCTTCCGCAATAGTTACCAGGGAATGCTCGAGGAATCGCAGCCACTTCTGATAGCTCTGTATCCCAACTGGCTGGCGAAGGCTTATCCCTTCGCCATATCGAATCTAAGGCTAAATGCTCATCGTCTCGTTACAACATACGATTTACATGCAACTCTCAAGGATTTGACAAACTTACAACTGCTCCGTGATGGCAATATTGCACATCGAACGACTGTGCTTGAGAAACTGGGACCAAAGATACCTCGTGGCATTAGCCTCTTTCTGCCCATACCAGAGATACGAAATTGTGGATTGGCAGGCATTCCATCTTCTTACTGCCTGTGCCATACCTTGAGCCAGATACTTACCACAGATCAGAGAGCGCAGCGGGCTGCTGAATTTGTGGTGCAATCAATTAACTCAATCACAAGCGAGGAGAAGCTTTGCCAGAGATTGAGATTGAAAGAGTTGCAAGCGGCCTATCTTTTAAATCAGGACAACAATATGTATGAGTTTGAGGTGAAGGTTCGACTCCGAACGACGCCGGGCGAGGGACAATTCGAGGGAACTACGAGATTTACAGGGTATTCACTGGCACTGAACGGAGTAGTTATTCGAACCAACAAGTATGCTAATCAATCTTATTGTGTGGAAAATTACCGCATCGAAATGTATTGCTATTGCTTATAAAAAGAAGAACTAAAAAACTTGATTAAATTTAACTATTACTATTAATTAATTAATTTGACATCCCATAAATACCTGCATACATTTGAGTATTGAATATTATATTGGTAATAGTTATGAAAGGGTTATCATAAGGAGATTCTCTATTAGTAAATCAATTGCTTTCGATAGTCAACTAAATTTTTTTAGCATGCCATCATTTTTCTGTCATTTTGATTTGTTTGAATTGACAGAGTTAAAAGTTTATTTTGTCTGAGTAAATACAGCAAATATGTTAGCACAAAAGTGGAGAAACACATTCAGGAGCAAAAAATTTGGTTGGATTTGCTTGGGAGCTATACTGATCTGTGTAGTGCGATATATACAGGTTGTACTTGTTTGTTTCAAAGAAATCGATCAGGAACTTATTACGGAGGATTACTTTGTGAATACCTCAGGCTGTCGCATGCTGGCCATGAATGCATTTCCGAAAATATCACTTAAGTACCTTCGGAGAGTAGAACCCACAAAATGCAACGGAACGCAACTATTTCGTAGCGAAACCGTATCGGGAAAGAACTTTCTGATAATATCGATGTCGCAGAGGGAGATTGAGAGGAGCTACGGGGTGAAAAGCCTATCCGAAGTTAGCTGTAAATATACGAAAGTTATTCGATATAATGACCACTTCAACCGAAATACGATTAACAGAACGATTCGCTTGAGAGATCAAATGCGACTTATTAAAGTCGCTGACGGTCCCAGAATACTGCGAATCTATTGTTATGTGCGTAACAAGTTGGTCTACCACGATGTGCATATCTTTTTGCCAGCACCGGCTCTGCGAACTAAAATCCCAGGCAGTTCAAGACCAGATCGCTTATCTGTTATGATACTGGGCATCGATTCCATATCACACATGCACTTTATACGCTCGATGCCTTTGACGGCTTCCTTCATAAGGGAGCAATCACATGTTGAGTTTTGGGGCTATAATCGAGTCGGCCTCAACTCGTTTCCCAACATTGCTCCCCTGTTGAGTGGCCAGAGCGAAACGGAGCTGGAAGCTGGATGTTATCGCGATAAGTTGTATTTTGACAGATGCAGGCTACTGTGGAATCACTTCAAGGATGCGGGCTACAATACGAGCTTCGGCGAAGACAACAGCGCGATTGGCACATTCACTTATGTGAAGCAAGGTTTCCAGCATCCGCCCACCGATTTCTATTTGCGTCCCGCAATGCTGGAGATAAATACCCACACCCGCTATAGCCTCGATAAACGCAATTTGATTCATTGCAGTGCTGGTCGTCATTTTGCTGAGATCCATCATGAATTCATTCACAAGTTGCTGCCTCATTTGGAGGGCGGACGACCTCACTTTTCGTTCTTCTGGGAAACGCAAGGAGTGCACGACTACTTCAATTATGCTCAGCTGTTGGACGAAAGCTATCTAAAACTATTCCATCAACTGCAGCACAAGCATATTTTGGATACAACTCTTGTCCTGTTCAAGGCCGATCATGGTTTACGGTTCGGTTCATATCGCGGCAGTTCCCAGGGCAGGCTCGAGGAATCGCAGCCTTTTCTCATAGCTCTGTACCCCAAATGGCTGGAGAAGGCTTACCCGCTTGCTATATCGAATTTGCGGCATAATGCCAATAGTCTCGTTACAACATACGACTTACATGCTACTCTCAAGGATTTGACTAACTTAAAACTGCTCCGTGATGACAATATTGCAAATCGAACGACTGTGCTTCAGGGACTGGGACCAAAGATGCCTCGAGGCATTAGCCTCTTTCTGCCCATACCAGATGAGAGAGATTGTGATTTAGCCAGCATTCCAGCTCACTTTTGTCTATGTCGCAACTTGCATAAGATACCATCGACTGATGGTAGATCTCGTCGGGCTGCTCACTTCGTCGTGGAGAGTATCAACCTACTGATAAGGACGCATCCACTCTGCCAGAGATTGCAGTTAAGGGAGGTCCAAGAAGCGTTCATTCTTAATCGGCTCGGTGAAGAAAAGAAGTTTGAGATCATGGTTCGATTGCAGACGTATCCGGGCGAAGGACAATTTGAGGGAACTACGCGATTTACGTCGGATTCACTGGCATTAAATGGAGCTATAACCCGTATTAATCGATACGGCAACCAATCATATTGTGTGCACAATTCTCACATCGAAATGTACTGCTATTGCTTATAAAGATTTCTATACCCACTTTGGCTTAGCTCGATTAACAAGCTGATTTATTTACATTTCAAAGAAGTAGTATTTCAACGAATATATGGGAAAATGTTGTTGATATTAAAGTACACTCCTGATAACGGCAATTACAATGGATCATTTGTTAGTTTCGAAAGCGTTACAAGTTATCAACCGTTCGACTCGCTGCCAGACAGTCGACCCCTGCTCCAGTCTCGGGCTAGACCCAATTTAATTTTCATTTTCATTTCCATTCCCATTTCCAGTTTCTGCTGCGGTTCTGGTTTCGTTTCCAGTGACGGTCCCTTACCGAACCGAGTTTCACGTCATTTCAATTTGACGAACTGATAAATGTCAAATGGTTTATGACACTCGTCGCTTGCCTTTGGCTTGGATGAGGTATTTTTTTCTTTCTTGTTTTGTATACACTTGCGGTGGGTGTTTTGGATTTGTAGTACAACTTGTAACATGCGAAACCATAGGCTGACGCTGAGTAGTCTGTCTGCTTATGACAGGTATTTTGTAATAAGTTTCCAACTCTGCTAACAAAATGTGGAATGGAAGTAGACAGAGAACTGCTTGTATTATTATATGGTTGGCCTACAAATAGTTTCTTGTATTTTCCGATTAGATGATCAAACTTATTTATGAGCTTTCAGAATTCCTTGATTTTAGTTTAAGTTGTAAAATAATCCTGTGTAGGGTATTATGCCGCACGGCACGTCATATTAGATACATTTATATTTTGCCACAAGCGTAATACGTGATTTGTGTTGTTGTAGATTTCTGTTATTGTTGTCGATTTTAGTTGTTTGTTGCCTCGCTTTATGAGCTTTGTATATATTTATTGTCATCAAATGTATTTTTGTTAAAGCTTTTTGGATAGATTTCAATTTATGAGTTTGCCTCATTCGTCTCTGAGATTTTTATATACGTTATAATTTCCGATTGTCAACCATAAATATTTGTTTTGTGCCAGCTCCAATTTTTGTAAGGCAAGGAATTTGACGCACTAAAAAGTGGTTTTTGAAGTTTTTTTCAGACCACAGTCTGAGGCAATTTATGTAAATTATATGCTATTCGAAGTGAACACAATGGCTTTTAGAATAACTATTACCAAATTATATCAATCAGTTGGCGAGCATAAAGAATTATTGTGATGAAAAGATAATACAAATTTGAATGATATAATTCCAAAATATTTTACAATATTGCTTAGAAACAAGTAGCAACGCTGTATTCTAGTGAGCTCGACTATCGTTTACCCAGAGCACAGCTGTTAAATATATTCTAGTTTTATTCCAAATCTCTGTCGAAAAAAGAATGGTAATTATATCAATATGACAATGGGTTTTCGACTATATCTATTATATTTTTTATTCGATCTTGATTAAAATTGTAAAGTTAATCAACAATATGCATGTGTATATTATATATAAATTCGGGGCACCTCTTCTAGTGTCTGAGATCTGCGTGTTCATGCAGACAGACTCGGTTTTTGATTCTAATCAAAAATGTATATTCTGCTTGTTACATACAGCAAATCAAAACCATTTTTAACCCATTTCTAATGCGCTTAGGGTATACAAAGTTTATTTAGTTAAAGTTATTGGAATCAATTTATATTTACTCTTCCGTTGCACTAGCATTTTACTATGGGTATAATTTTGGGTAATTAACCTGGTTTCATGAAATTGCACCGCATAGAACGCTTTACATGAATCAAATGTAGCCGCTGCCCGCAACGGATAATTTGCGTCAAAATGTCAGTTTATTTGAAGAGGCAGTCCCCAAGTTGGCAACGATGAGAGACGTGCAATTGAATTAAAATTAAAATACACAGCACACAAAAAAAAAAATGCATTCGTTATAATTTTCAATTTATTTACGAGCAATGCACACACACACACACACACTTACAGAAGTGTGTGTGGGGGTCAGTGTTGCAACAAAAATTATAAATTTAAAAAAATAATTAAAAACCATTTGACTGGGCCGCTGTGCATGCCAGTGTCAATACCGGATTCGGATTGTCCTTGGAAAAACTCGCTTTCAATTAATGCAAAATGTCCTAAAAAGAACGAATTTTTCACTGATTGTTGGCGATTGTCAAGCAGACTCCGTTGACAGCAGCAGCAGCAGCAGCAGCGGACAAATTGAAATGAGCCCGGAACGTGATCCCAACGAGATCCGCAATTCGAATCCCATTTCCAATCGCCAAAGTATACAGCTGCTTTCAATCCTCTCTTTTTTTTATTCGTTAAATAATGGGATAAAAGTATATAAAATTAAGTAATGAACACTTTCAGCTGTTTTCAAGCTGTCACATGACATTTTAGCAGATTATTTGAAATGCCCTGCAAAACGAATGCTTGTATTATGCTTATTATTATCACGGATGGAATATGTAAAGAAAATAATTAGCACTTTTTAACATTTACTCAATAAAGTAAGTGCTTACCAAGTAATAAAAGAAGGCTATTTAATGCCTGAAAAATAATTTGTAGGCACAAATCTAAATTCGCTAAAGCTGAAATGATTTACAAAAGCATAGAGCATTCTTACTTGTAGTTAATAAATCTGTAAACACAATTTTTGTGTAAAAGTAACCTACAAACTCCACTAAATTAATTTGTTCGAATAAATAGGAAAGACTCATAGCTCTTCAAGGATTTTTCTCAAATATATAATAAAACCTCATAAACAATTTAGTATCGAGTCCTATCCAGACTTGAAGGTCTCTTCGATTTGTGTTCATCTGCCTATCTGCCTTGATTTGTTTTTCACCAAATGCTATCGATGGTTTAGTTTTGGGTCACTAGATGTCGCAGTATAAATCTCCAATTGGGCAAACATGTAATCACTCAATTCGTTCTGATTTCGTACGGATTGGTAACACCATAAATAGTTATCCGGGGGAAGTGGACTTTGATCATGGCTTACGGCTGGTGTGTGTGTGTGTGTGTGTGTGTGTGTGTGGGGGTGTGTGTGTGAATAGCTCATAAATTAATTCAATCAATGTCAAAAGAAAATGTTATTTCACATCAGAGTGCGGTCATAAATCGCAGTCCGTGTCGATCTTATCGCTAATCGATGTACGTACGTCAAGCGTGTGGCGTCGAGATGTGATGTGGTCTGCAATCAGCATTTCTGCTCCAATCTGCCACACCATTTGGTGTGGATGACATACATATTGGGGGAGTGGGGCTCATAAATTTAACTTAACTAATTTCTCCATTCATTATGCCGAGCGTATCGCTGCGTATAGAAAATTGCGTACAGATTGAGATAAGCAGGTGCATTTATGAGTGCTCGAGTGCAAAGCTAAACTGAGTATGCTGATATATTCATTGCCATCGAAGTCAATCAAAGAGCCATCTGTCAACTGACAAATGATTTTAAAATCACTTTGCAAAGCTCTAACACTTAGCCCAGAGCCAGAGCCCACAAGTCGAGCTTCTCCAAGGCAAAAAATTCATTGATAACGGATGCGGGAAACAGACACTTTAAATGCTTGCGATATTGTCAATCAAAATTCAATCGAAGCCATGAATCATGACAGCACCACAACGATGGTTATGCTGATGATGGCCTCAAGAGCGACACTGTCTCACTCAACACACTGATGGATAGATGACTGGCTGGGATGCCTGGATGGATGAATAGCTGCTCTTGGTGCTGTGGTTGCAGCCAGCTCGAAAAAATGAAATCACTCAAACAGTGAATGCGTGTTGAATTGTTGTTGCCGGCATCTCTCATGCCTCGCTTTGGTAGGCACTTGTCGTTTGAGCAGTAGAGCACTGGCAAAAAGCATTTAGCATTGGCATCCTGCCGCATGCCACACATGCCACACATGAGATCCTTGTCCTCGTACGAGTGTCAAGCACATTGCGCTCGTCAGCTCGTCTCCAACGACTGCGTCGTCATCAGTCAATGTCATTGAGATAGTTTTGACGTTTTTATGAGCAAATGATAAGTCTCACTCCGCTTGCTGCTTGTCTGATGGCCGTTGTTTGACACTTACCAGCCCCATTCACCTCCCTCCCCCTCTCCCCCTCTTCCATCACACACAGACACACACACACTCACACTCATACCCTTCAACATTCCACAATCTACACGAGAAGTCGACAGCGTTTTTTTTTTATATATTTTTATTTGCTGTGCATTTGAGATTTATGATTTTAAATTGACGCTGCCCTGATTATCTATCGCATATCGCATACGCTGTTTCTTTTTAAATATAGCTCTGACAGAGTACGACTCTATCTACCCAGATTGCAATGGCTATCAATCAATGTGGTCATCAACGCGAACTGTCCTAAATTTATTCAAGTAACTAATTTTATGATAGGGTTTCATAAAGCTGTGCAAATTTGTACTTATTTTCAAAGCAAGGTGTCAACCCGAAACGAATTTAGGTTGCGATTCCGATTCTGATACGTTAAGTATACAAATTCGGCTATCGGAATTTTAATCGATAAACACGTTGGTTCCGATTACGATTCAAATACTTCTACCGGTTAAGATATGCCTCCACTTAACTCCCCTCTTCACTGTTGCTCGCTTCGAGCAATGAGTTTTAGTCAACAGGCTTCAATTGCAAAACATATCTCAAAAAGCTGCTAAATACTCACGATTGGTTACGAGGACCTTGGGTCATCAATTTTGAAAATGATTTCCTGATATTAAATGTGTATAAATTAAATTTCCAAACAAATTTTGGTAGCCACAAGCATAGCGACAGCCTTTAACCATTAATAATTACTGTGCATTGTTATTGATCAATTTCGAAATTTTCATTTCTGCCTACTAATATTGACTTCCGTTTCCGCTTGCAAGTATAAAGCATGTTTCCGCAAACTCTTTTTAGTTATATCTCTTTTTTGTTAGGCGCCAGTGCCCACAATTGCCCGCATAGCCGAGTCGTAAAATATGTTATCGCCGTTGTTTGTAACAACGAGTTGTAAAAACAAAAAATAAATACACAAAAAAAAGGTGGATTTTACCAGAAAAAAAGCAAATATTACAAATCAGACAAATAAATTTGCAAATAAAATAGCCATTCGCGAAATATTTGACATTTATTAATTAAAAATGGTCGAAAATTTATATTAATTTTATTCAAATTGTCAACGGCAACAAAGGAAGCTAATTTCAATTTATTTTATTTGTTTCGCTCAGGTTTGTCAGTTGCCCCATTTTAATGCAGCGCCAAACAATGCGAATAGATAAAATGGTCATTTCTAAAAACATAAATACATAAATTCAAGTATGGTTCTTATCTGTCGCTAAATAAATCACACGTATTAGCCATTTCACTCATAACCATTTACTTAAATATTCATTTATTTGTATTATATAAATGAAATCGTTTATGAATCTCAAATTAGTAAATGTATATTCTGACTCTCCTCATATTTGGATAAATAATGTACATATATTTGTGAAGCACAAAACCCAAGTAGAACACAGTCGCTAACAACTGAAGACCCAATGCTAACCAGCTGAGTCCCTTGGCGAGAATCTGCACAGCAAAGAAATGATCGTAGACAACATCCTCACATCCTCTGGTGATCAATTCGATTTCTCCATGATGATGACTATAGCAGGTCGGATGCACCTGGCGCGAGTACATCAGATAAGTTCGTGGGCTTTCCAAACCACAACACTGCAACTGATAAGGGAATATATGTATTAGATAAATCGATATATTTTTGCTATCCACTCTGCACCTTTGTCTGTATCTCAATCCAAAATTGATCATCATGCTCAAAGTATCTGCGCCAATGTTCAGTTAGAAAAAGATAAGCATCTTTGTCACTTATAAGCCTCGCTAGATACAAAACACAAGTGGCATATGTACGATGCATAGCATATATAAGCAGAGGTAAATACTAGATCAGAGGTGAACATTAATAATAGTGTTAAGAGAGTTAAGTTCCTTACCAGCACAGCAATCCAATCGGTTGTCATATAGATCAGAATAACACTTAGATATATGAGTAACATTTCAAGCACTATAATCCCAGTTAGTGATAAATAAACCCTTATCACCAGATACTTCAATTTTGCAAACACAAACTGATTATCGTATTCTAATATGGTTGGCAACGTTATTCGCATTGTTATCGCAGTTATCAACTGAAATGGGTTCGTTTTTATTTCCTTAAGATTTGTGGCTGTAATCGTGACTTACTCCAAGTATAAGTGTGAAAGAATATTTCACAGCTGGCAACATTTTTTGAAATGTTGTAAATTACCAGGCACATTTGATATTACAACTTCTTTATGTATACAAATTGAATAAAATCAATAAGAACAGTTGTGTTTAACGAAACTTTACTATTAACATAAATCACTCAATGTGGTACTTTTTTATAGTCTAAACCCATTAAAAGTGGGTTGAAAAGGTATAATGGTTTTGTGCAAAAGTATGTAACAGTCAGACTTAATTATTATTTAATATAATAATTTAATTTCATCGATAATTCCACATTCCAATAGCAATAAAAACAAGATTTTTAAAGGTAGAGGCTTCCAATAAATATATAATACACATTGATATATTATTGATCAACTGGTCAAATTTCATCAGGATCGAATAAGAAACACAAAAAACATATATATTCTTGATCAGCAAACATCATTCGAGAATTTCTTTTAGTCAAATTTGAGCTGAGCAGGCAGAGCTCCAGGATATGTTTTAGTCGAGCCCAATTCGGCATGTTTTTTTTTATTAGTTTCGATTTCGATTTTTTTAATGTGTGAACAAATTTCCGTTGTTGATTTATGGGATTTGTTATATTTGACAGTAGTTGTTGCTGGTGTTGCAGTGGCAACTGCAGCTGCACAGTTGGTGGGTGTTGTTTGGGTATTGCTTTGGGTTGCACTATTCTATAATCGGCTTTCTATATTAATTTAAATTTTATTTTTGGCATTTTATTATAATTACTCTTGATAAATGTAAATAGTCATCGTTAGCTGCAGCATTGTTGTTTGTTTTATTTGTAATTGTTGTCGTTGTTTATGTTAATGTTATAATTGTTGTTGCTGATGTTACATCTACTGCACTTGATGTTGTTTAATTTAACTGCCCCGCTACTCTGTTTCCTCTCGCTCCCCTGCTATTAATACTCAAATATCTCGTTAGGGAATATTTGTCTCATTTTTTGGAGCTGGCATTTTATTTCTATTATCAACCAAAAATATTTTTGTGGTTTTCAACGTTTTCAACTGTTTTAGTAATTGCTGTTGTTATTGTTGGTTTTGTTTATGCTAAAAATTGACATTATATGCTCTTTGTAGTAAGCACCCCAAAATGAGGCCATTGAAAAAATAAATGTATATACATATTATAATAAATTGCACAAATATTTATTACATTTATACACAAGAACGCATATTTATATTTATAATGTTTTAATGCTAATTTTAACAAATCCAAAAGCATTTGTGGCTCTGTCCCTAAGCACATTTCATATATATACTTTTATACTATATCTGCTGCTGATATTTTAATTTTAATGTCACATTTGATCATAAATTTGCTAATTAATAAATAATTCGTTGAGCCTTTTGGTTTGGGTGACCAAATTTTATGCTCTAAACTACTAAACAGGCTTAAACCACTTGCTGGTGCGAGGCGAGCACCGAAAAGCTCTACTGAAAACAGTTCGTAAGTCTGCAGGGTGCTTAGTTGCGGAATATTAATTAATTTTCTGATTGCCTTCTAAAGCATCAAATGAAAAATATAAATTACTGAAATAAATAAATAAAATATATATTGATAAACATTTACATTAGTATATACTTAGTCAATTCATTTGAAGTCAATCGGGAGACGCCTAAAATGTGAGAGGCATGTCAAACTACACTCTATACAAACTGAGAGCCCTGCTAATGCTTTAAGTTGTCAAATTATATATAAACTTTTAGATTTTCGCACACAAAATACTGTACCTACAAGTGAACAATTTCCAAAAAAAAAAACTTAACTGAAATACGATGGGCGAGGATCGTCGTAATAGTTATGATGCTGTCTCGATACCATCCTATGAATCTTTGTCTAAGAAGTCGGAAAGTTCGCATACATCGCAGGACGACATACAAGTAACCAAGCGTATGGTGTACAATTTGGAATGTGAGGACGATGTCGAGAAGTGTATGAATATACCAGAAACACCGGCCGGTGACTTTTATAATCAGGTTGCGACTGCTGCTAGTCAAGGACTCTTCAGTCCACAGCTGATGATCGTCTATGCGGACGGTGACATAAATTGTGCCCTGCACTATCTAATCGATTCACTCCACGATCCCTTCTCAGCAAAATCGGTGGTCACCGTTCTCGTGGAGGAGTGCATTCAAAAGGAGTTTGTGCAGAGAATCCAGTCGCAGATGCAACCACTTGCCGAGAGTGTTGCCACTCATCCAAACTATGTGGCCACTCTGGAGATGATCGGTAAACTGAGCGTGAAAACAATCAGCGCCGACAAGAAGCTGATATCGGATCCACTGGTCTCACCCATTCTGGTTTGCAATTGCCAGCACAGCATGCTGGGCGAGGGTCCAACGGGTGTCATCTGTCTGCACACGTTCCGCTCCAATGCTGAGGCCGTCGAGATATGTTGCAAGGAGAGCTTTCAGTTCTCGAGCACCTGCATATGGAATGAGTCCCTGGAGGGCATCTATCAGCTAGCAGTTGCCATCGATTGTCCCATATTCTACTTCAATTGCAACAATGTCAGCTTGTCACCTATATCCTCAGACGAAATTAAATTGTGTTTTTTCGATGGATTCCACTATGAGAGACTACCAATCAACGGCAAAAACAAGATCATTATATTTCCAATCGGTGCTCATATTAGCCAGAAAAGTGATGAACCCCCAATAGTTTCAAATTCCTCCATTCCTTTTCTAATCGAATGAGTGAATCGAATGAGTCAATCACAATTTTTTGAATCATAATGCTTCCTTATACTTATCTTGCTTGCAATCAAAAGTCGTTCAATTGCTTTCGCCCAAAAATATAAAATTTCAATCAATATCTGGCAGTTATTTTTGGTATTAATGATAAGGCATTTTATGCTAATTGACTTTGATGACGATGATGATGATGATGATATCGCATATCGAATATGATGGCACCTGTCAGCGGTCGTAATGCGAGTAATACATATGCATAAATATCTTCTTTTGTTGCTTGTTTCATTTTTGTTTAGGGCCGCTTAATGGGTCCATCTTATGTAAATATGAGCAGTTAACAAACAAGTTAATCGCATGACTAATTCAGGTTTCAGTTTGAGATCAGTTTAAGCAAGCGCTTTTGCCCTCTTTGACCCAGTGTACAAGACTGAGAAGTACTGGTAGTATTGGTATCGATATGGTATTGTAAAACTAGGCAATCTAATTCAAATTGTTATAAATCACAGCTCATATGAAAAGCAGTTATTTTATTTAAGGAACAGTTGATTAATACTGTTAGCAGTGATATTTGCTTTATTGATACAATAACTTGGGAGTTTTTAATGCTTGAGCTTTAAATCAATGAGTTCTTTCTGAAAGCCAAATATCAATTTGCAAGCTTAATATAATTGCAGCGCATATAAAAGTCGTTCACTGCCGATACGTTCAAGCCCACTTGGTTTTCAGCAGTTTTGGTTGCGATACATTTTGCGAAGCTTCACTTCAAGTTTACGATCGACATTTAAGAGCGCCAATCCGGACACATTGTGCGACGGCTTCAGCTGGCCAATAAAACCATCAGTTTACGATTGTGGACTGTGGATGATGATGCTTGAGTGACGGAGTCGTCGACGCACCTCCTTTAGCACTTAGGAGAGCCAAAAATAAGCCAGGCTCATCATTGCGATTATCAGTATTGAATTAATGCCGCATAAATCTCTCCAGCCAGTCAAATTACCATCTTCCTATATACATGTTTGTATGTATATTTGTCTGGCGCAGGTGCAGCTTCGAGTTGGAGGACTCTAACTGTGGGCAAGTTGAACACGTTGAATTCATTGTGAAATGCGGTTTGAATTATTTGTCTGTCTGGCTGAGGCCTCCCAGTGGCAGTGACATTGATGCTGACATTGACATACCACCCACAGAAACCCCCTCTATGCGACAAAACAAATGAAATTGTTAATGACCAGTGAGTCATTCCCAGTTGTTCGTTCATTCACTCAGCCAGTTAGTCATTCAGTCAGTCATCCATTCAATCAGACATGCGGCTAGTCAGTGCCTTTAAGCATTATTTAATATGTTATTTTATTGTTATATATTCGTAATAGGTATTATGCAAATTGCATATTGCCCTGAGTAATTGCTGCGCTGCAGAGCCAATTACTACCTGTACCATTTGCCAATGATCTCTTCATAATTTCACATAGAATATGCATCCATAAAACGTAAGTGTAATCTATTCTATCGCACAGTCTGTTAACACATTTTGTTCGCACAAAAGACAAGCAATTGACTTAATTGCATTGCAATTCAGTTTTATGCAATTGCTATCTTAATGTTCTAATGTACATATTCAGACAGTTATAGTCAATATGTGTGTAAAAATCAGACAAGGATATTAAAGTTTGGCTAGCAAAACAGAAAAAAGAATACTCTAGCATTTTTGGTGTAACTATGACGATTTTCTAAAATTCAGTGCAATTTTTTTCTGAGGAAGCTGGATTTAAAAAATACCCTGATACGAGCTAAATGTGATATTTTTAATTAGCGTTTGTACATGAATTTGGAGTAAAAATCATTAAGTCAACTTTAAGTAGAGTATGAACACTATTATAATATCAGTTCAATTCTAGAGGTCAATCAATTATTAAATTAAATTATGCATTGCTTTTGATAATTGAACTGCAATTCACATAACCGATATTTACAATGCTTCATTTAGAAATAGACACTTTCTAATATTATCAACGCAAACTTTAAGAAGTCATCGAAATAATTTCTCCAAAAATACTGGACGCAATTATTAAAGTTTGCAAAATGTTTATTTAGCCAGAGAGATATATGGGGATTTAAAAGTCTGTTAGCTTGTTGCCCCAAACTATCAAGACATATAGGCGGGTGGCAGAAACGGAGGCGTACTCTAAGCTGGCAGAGTTACAGTGCAGCAAGGACCAAGGACTGCCCCTTTGCTGGAAGCAGCAGCAGCAGCAGCAGCAGCAAAAGTAAAAGATGAAGGAATACGAGAGTGCAAAGCTGTACGTAGACGTCAGTTTCAATGGTGTCTGCAGAACTTGTCACTCATTCAATAGTTTGAAAATTGCAAATGTCACTTACAACTCAGGCAAGCCACACACATACACACACACACACACAGACATATCCGTACACACATATATGACGAAGCATGTGTATATCTATAGCTATGTGTAAACATTCTAGCCAAGGATGCGACTGAGACAATGTTGCTGGAGACGTTGCCAAAGGACGACAAAGTCTACCAAGAATGCCGGAGAGGATGACGCGTCAGCAGACGCTGTGAATTAAAACAAGGCCAGGAATAAAATAATAAAAGGACTAAAGACAAAAGCATAAGAAAACTTGAGCCCTCTCTCTGTGTGTGTGTGTGTGTGTTGTGTGTGTGTTAGTGGGTGTGTGCATGTGCGTGCAAGTATTGACCCATATAGTGGTTTGGGTAAGCACGCTGAGCAAGTGCAATCCACCCAAACATACACACCCACAAAATGGGTACTGCTGCTGCATGTACGCATCAAAATCAGACTTGTAATCCAAGTGCAAGTTGCGAATTCAAAAATACATCCATCGGCTGCAGTGGCAGTGGCAGTGGCAGCATCTTCTGGCAGCATCCTTCGCCTTGGCCAGAATGGCAGGCATCCTTCGAGCTTGCTCGCATTGCTTGCCATACTTTGCTTGCTTGCGAGTTGCAGTTGCGCAAGGAGCGAAATTCGCCGGAGCTGATGTCACGTAGATAGACACAGACATGCAACTGACAGACAGATGGAGAGACACTGTGACACGACACATTGACTGACAGCTGCAGGGCCCGTGCTGGAAGTTGGGCCGGGCCAGTGGTGCGGGATGATGCGGATGCGTTTTATAGTACCAGTGCAAAGGATTGTGCAAGAAACGGCGTGTGCAAACAAACCGAAAGACAAAAGCAAATGACGAACGCTTTGTTGGTAATACTACAGCAATGACAAACCCAGCGAGCAATTTATAGAAAGAGCAAGCAGGATGCATACAGAAAGAGAGGGTGCGCTGGGGGCCTGGGGTAGAAGGACAACTAAGCACTTAGATGAATATTGAGAGCGTCAAGGAGTGACGACCAACTGGCGATTGTGGGGCACGGCAGTAGTCAGTTCTTAGTGGATAAAATGCAGAGCACACAACCCGGAATCTTAGCTTCAAAATTTCTTTGAGTCGATTAACTTTAAAGATACGTATTTAAAGTTATATGCATCGGGAACACAATGAAGCTGCGTTTAACAATATAGCATTTTTTATAGTTAAATATAAACTGCAGGACAATTAGGGGCAGCAGAATACTGTGAGTGCCTCTTGAATATGCAAAAACCTGTAGATAATATTTCTGGAGTCTGCCTGCAGTTAACTGTGGCTGATATCATTTATAATACGAAATTGACATCCAACCGTCTTTTAACTTACATTATCAGCAACAATGTGTTGTAAATCTGTTGTATCTAAAGTAGAAAAAGAGAAATAAAATTAAAGTGTAAACATTAAAAAATAAAACACAAGCACAAATTGTATGTCCAATTTTATTTTTTTTTTGTCTATGGGAAAACAAATTAAGGACACTCATTTTCTCAAAAAGCTCGAAGTGGGTGTGGAGGGTCGAGCGCAGTATTTTGTTGTCGCTGATTTGTCCTTTTGACGAAACATTAGGCGGACAGGCGAGCATGGGACTGGAAGCAACAGACGCGAGGACGCATCCTGCAAAAAGTGTTTTTAATTTAATTTTTTCACATTTAATTTTTGCGTTCACATTTTTTTTGATGAAGCTGAAAATCATAAAACAGAAGAACAGCATGAGCTAGGGAGGCCTTTGGGGCTAGACGAAGCGAGTGGCACTGAAAAATAAATAAGAGTAATTAAATTTCGTAACAAACATGACGAGATAATGGACCGAAGCCATTAACAGTGCCCGGACCGTCAGTCAGCCAGCGTCTGACCGCTGCAAAGATGACGAAAAGAAGCTGTTGACGATGAAACACAGCAGCACAGAAAGGACACCAGGCTAAAGGGACAACAGGACAATATGGATGAGCAGCTACTGCTGCACATTAAGCTGCAACTCTCGCCAGATTCAGCAGCTGCTCTAATGTCCTGTGCATTTTTCACATAACCTACGCCAAGATGCACGGTTTCCTCAGCTTCTTGGTTGCCCTGATTTCCCAGACCAAAACTCCCCAAGGCAAATTTTTCTTGATTCCGCTGCAAGTTCGCGGCCAACCGTGCTGTTGTCTCAACTTTCAAGAATTATTGCATCATTTACAGTTTGGGTCTTGAACGCTGCCGCGTTAAACTTGTGGGGTCAGGGGTCACAGCCTGAGTGACAGTTTGTGGTTTGCAGCATGACAGTAAAGCAGCCAAATAAGTTTACGTTCAGCCATCGACAAAACTAAGCAGTGAATCTAAATGTTGGATCAGTAGAGTGTTATAATAGGAGAAATATGAAAATATACATATTAATTTTATTAATAATTATTATTAATTATTAAATATATTCACAATTTAAATAAACATCGACCACTGAAATATATGTAGTATATATTGATGTAGTTGATGGCATTTAGCTCATGGGTGCAACTTATACTTATTTTTTAACAAGTTACTTACTTAAAAAGTACTTTTACTTTTTGCGCGTTCACACTTTGTGTAAGTAGAAAGTTGCTAAAGAAAACTTTGCAACTAGGTGAAAGAAAAATAAAAAGGGAATGTGTAAAAAAAAGTGTGCTCAGATAGAAAAAGAAATCAATGTTTCAAATTAGTATACTACACAATGTATATTATAGATGTTGTCCAAAACTGCAGTTCG